GATAATACGAAATCAAGTACCATAAGAATTGGCATCTTTTATATGAATTGATTTAGGGTTTTCAGATTAAAACAGAGAAAATGAGACAATACGAAGTCTTAACCCCCAATATTTATCACTAAGAAATCTATCGAGTTCATACTTAAAGCCTTAAATTCTCATTTTCAAGAAAAAGGCTAGGGAACAAAGGCATATTTTCGTAAAGTAATCATTATATATGGCAATCATCTCATTTGTTTCGATCAAGATACTCTAATCCGGTAATAAAATTAATGTGAGAATATTCNGTACTATGGCATTCTTATGTAAAGTAATCATTATATATGTCAATCATCTCATTTGTTTCGCTCAAGTTACTCTGATCCATTAATAAAACTAATGTGAGAATATTCATAATGGACATTAAAGCAAAATCATTGCCAATGTTTATCAAATAATCAAGTATAAATGTTACGTCCATAAAATGTTTAAAAAAAAAAAAAAATCGAAATCTCCGTCAACTCTTGTGTCGCTTTGAGTAGTCTTATGTGTCCATGGTGAAGACTCTATACATCACTCGGGTGACATGTTGAATGATGGACTCATCTGCAAATTAAAATTTTTCTTTTGGAATAATTGTATTTATGAATAAACAGTACTCAGAAAAGGTATGTCCTAACTACACAACTCCAAGCTCCTCTTGCTCTATGCTGTAATAATGCACTTCAACGTCCTTAACGCGGTTTGATAAAACAAAATCATCTATGTTATAGCATATAAATAAACCACGATTTTAACATGTCCATAAAGTCAAGGTTATACAAAAAGTAATAATAATTTCATTCTAATCCAAATCTTCTAAAAACATTGGATTCTTCAATGACATGTAGACGCTTTATTCTTTTTAGATTGAATGATTCTATGTCTAGCACGATTGTCCTTTCATCACTTTTCAATTCCACCTGCTCATTATAGATTCTATGAAGGATTTGTGGGCAGAGACGGAGATGGTGGGCTGGGGGACGATCGCCCTGCAACATTGTCCGCTAGTCCATTATTTTTAGTTAATTTATAATGTATTTTTCAGTTTTGCCCCCGCAAAATTTTTGACTCGCCCCTGCAAACTTTTGAATTTTTTTTTCCATTAATAAATATTGACCCAATAACTTACACTTTAAAATTCAACCATACAAAAATCTTAAACCTAAACAAAAGATCCAATAGTTACTTAAATAAATAAATAGCTCGGATCCAATAGATGTGT